GTCTTTCTGTATGTTTGAAAAATGTTCATTTCAAAAGAAAAAAATAATTCCAAAGTGGATCTCTGAAAAGAAGTCATAAGCAGCATAGAGGGGAAAGATTAGTCAACTCAAGTAAGGATATTTCATAGACTTATCAACATCAGAGCTGAAAAGGCCTTAAGCTATCCTACAATCCAGTCTTTTAGGCTTTGTTCCTGTCCTGCCACTAACCATGTGTGTTTGGGTAAGTCACGAAAATTCTGTGGAACTTAGATATTTTTATTTGTAAAGTGAGGGGGCTGGCTTAGCTGATTTCAAATATTCTGTGTTAAACTCACTCAAAACTAGCTAAGACTAGGGACTTCCCTGGTGGCACAGTGGTTAAAAATCCACCTGCCAATGCAGGGGACACAGCTTTGAGCCCTGGTCCGGGAAGATCCCACATGCGGCGGAGCAGCTAAGCCCAAGAGCCACAACTACTGAAGCCCCTAGATCCTGAGTTCCGCAACAAGAGAAGCCTGCGCACCACAATGAAGAGTAGGCCCTGTTCACTGCAACTAGAGAGAAAGCCCACACACAGCAACAAAGACCCAACACAGCCAAAAATAAATAAATAAATAAATTTATTAAAAGAAATCATTAGCTAAGACTAGCTCTCAGGTATCAGCAAGACTTTAAGAAAGTGAGTCACCTCCATTTGCCTGGCATTGAAGGTTCTTCATGCTCTGGCTCCAACTGAACTATTGTCCTCTATGCACTTTTATACCCCAGTCATTTCTTCTGTGCCTGGAACGTCTTCCTTCCCATCTCTACCTGATGAACTCCTATTCCTCTTATAAGGCCATCTCAAATATTACCACTTTCTTGATGTCTTAGTGGATTCCTTAATAAGATTTGACCTCTGTTCACTAAATCCTACAACACTTTTTGAACTTGTTCTGTGGAATATATGACATTTTACTTTTTATTATCTCTTTTTGGTATTTTAATTATTATTATTATTTTTTTTTGCGGTACGCGGGCCTCTCACTGCTGTGGCCTCTCCCGTTGCAGAGCACAGGCTCCGGACGCGCAGGCTCAGCAGCCATGGCTCACGGGCCCAGCCGCTCCTCAGCATGTGGGATCTTCCCGGACTGGGGCACGAACCCGTGTCCCCTGCATCGGCAGGCGGACTCTCAACCACTGCACTACCAGGGAAGCCCGGTATTTTAATTATTTTTGAAAAATATTTTCCTTCCTGCTAGACTCTAGACTCCTGAAGAAGAGGGATTGTGTCTTATTTAGTTTCATATTCTCAAAGCATTAGCATAATGACTTACATAAAAGAGATTTTTTTATAAACTTGGACCCATTGTATATGGTAGAAACAGATTTATGCAAAATCGTGAGTTGGCTGTTTTGCTACCAAACTCTTACTGGCATAAACTAACACTTTTTCTGAAACTAATGATGAGGGAATATGGTTATTGATTTTCCAAATAACTTTTCATTGTGATAAGATTTTCCCAGAAAGCTAAAACACTGGCAGAAGAAAATGTTACTCAAGAAAACGTCACTCACAAAAGAAAATCTTTTGTTGGAATTGTGATTATTTGGCATGTTTTGTGCTATGTAGAGGTTAAAGTTGGGATTGTTTTCTCCATTGCAGGTTCCCAGTCAGGCAGCACATGTACAAGCAGAATGGAAGGCCATGCTCTAAGTATTTGATCAATGATCTGCTGTCTCTGAAGGACTCTCTGGTAAAAACTCCAATGGAGGGCATCACCTATGCTTGGAAAGGCTCAGCCACGCCAGGGTCTGCTGCCTGCAGGAAGCACAGGACTGAGGAATTGACTGAGCACGGCTAACCTGGTGGCATATCATGTGGTGACTCTGACTACTAGTAAAATGTGGTCCAATGAACATCTGGGACTCTGAATAGTTACTTTAGCAATCCCATCTCTCTTGGTTGTGAGTATGTGTGGATGACATGGTGGAAATGAAGGATGGTACCGACAGAGGTTGTCTTAGCATGGGAATAGGGATATGATCTCTCCCCTCCTCAATACAACTTAAATATTTTGTAAGAATTAAGTCATTTTTGTTCACTTAGCTAATTTATTTCTATGTCATTATTTTGGAGGAAAACGTGTATGCAATGATATATAGTTAATTCCTGGTATCCTTTCAGCTTTTTTGTTTTGTTTTGTTTTGGTTCGCAGGCTCCTCACTGCTGTGGCCCCTCCCGCCGCGGAGCACAGGCTCCGGACGCGCAGGCCCAGCGGCCACGGCTCACGGGCCCAGCCGCTCCGCGGCATGTGGGATCCTCCCGGACCGGAGCACGAACCCGCGTCCCCCGCATTGCATCGGCAGGCGGACTCCCAACCACTGCGCCACCAGGGAAGCCCTCAGCTTTGTTTTATTGCAGCTTAATGCAGAATATACCTACACATTGTCATTCTGAAGTGATAATGAGAACATACCCAGGTATCTTCAAATTAGAGTTTAATCTTGTAATGTGTGACAATTCTCTTGAAAGCCTTAGGGGTGATTTTAGAGATTTTGTCTATTTTGATGAAATTTATATATCATAATTGAATGCATTCTGTTTGGGCTTCTTTCTATTTTTTCATCTTGAAAACATTAATGCAGGGCTTACAAACTCATAAGTCAGTTACTTTTTAAATGAACAAAAAGTGACATATCCCTTGGCTAGTGCAAACAGTAAATTAGTTTTCTATTGTGCTTTGTTTTATTAGTCTAGAATCTAACAAACAATCTGTAAGGATCTACCAGCAAAGACAGGAGAAACACATACACAACCTGTCATTCCCTCCCCCCACCATTAGTGAAATTGTTTTACATATTTCAGTACTCTGTATATGAGAAACAGCAATCATTGTATAATAGCAAATTAGCATATGTTCATAAATATGTCACAGATATTACAGTTTCTGTATTTTCCTAGCAGCATCAACAACTTGTTACTACCTAGATAACCACCCTTCTTTCATTCATTCAATAAACATAAATTGAAGGACTACGTGGACCAGGGTTCTGAGAGATACTAGAAATAGGAATAGCAGGATGGTGACTCCTGCTCTGTGGAGCTTACAATCCAGCTGAGCAGACAGACACAGAAAAAGTCATTATAAGCGTTTTGAAGGAAAAGTGCAGGGTGCAACAGGAGCTAATGGTGCGTTTCCCAGGCTGTGGCTCATTCTGATTTTTTTTTTTTTTAATATAAATTTATTTATTTATTTTTGGCTGCATTGGGTCTTCGTTGCTGTGTGCAGGCTTTCTCTAGTTGCGGCGAGCGGGGGCTATGCTTCATTGCGGTGCGTGGGCCTCTCATTGCGGTGGCTTCTCTTGTTGCGGAGCACAGGCCCTAGCCGCACGGGCCTCAGCAGCCGTGGCTCAAAGGCTCTAGAGCACAGGCTCAGTAGTTGTGGCGCACGGGCTCAGTCGCTCCGCGGCATGTGGGATCTTCCCGGACCAGGGCCCAAACCCGGGTCTCCTGCATTGGCAGGCGGACTCCCAACCACTGCGCCACCAGGGAAGCCCATTCTAATTTTTTGATTCTTCTTACCCTTCAAACTTGGAGAGAAAATGAGGGTACAAGCTACAGTAATTGATGGTATGCATGCATACATATCTTCCAGGAAGAACATTATTCAGTCAAATAATTGAGGTTCGTTCTCTCAGTCCACCTCCCTGGAAGGTTTGCTTTTGTGTCTAGCAGCGGTGTTCACGATGCACACCTACACGCCCCCCCCCGCCCCGCCCCCTTATCCCCAAATCCCGAAGGAAGAGAGTACGGAGTGGTGTGGAAGGGATGACACTGTGGAGTGGGATGGATTCAGTTTTTCACCTTTCAAGAGAGTGAGAACTGATTGGTGAGCTCGTTCTGAATAATGTGAAGTCAGAGGAAAGGGCAGGGTAAGAGCCATAGTCTTGCGAAGAGCAGAGTTCAGGGTCTAATTCCTGTTGCTTTATCAGCCGCCGATTGTACCTGCTGGGAGAGCTGATAACATCAAATGAGTACAGAGCTGGGGAACTGGAGCGCCTTGGCTACTTTACACTGACCTGGAAAATGTCAGGATAAATTACGCAATGGGTCGAGGAGGGGAAGTTGGTAATTGAAGTCCTTTTAGAAGTCTCAAATCTTTGTGGATACTGAGTATTGTTCCCCCCCCCTGCCCCCTTCACCATTGAGCTGGCACCAATTCAGTAAGGAAGGATGGCTTGTGAATGGGGCTGAGGGCTGGGAGAAGGATTCAAAGACTAGGATCTTAAAATGAGATTGGCATCTGCACTTGTCACAGTTTAAAACATGTTGATGGTCCAGATCGTTGTGGGAAACGATTTCAGAGCGCCGTTAACCTTTCCCAAAGCTGCATTTCTTTTTTTAAAAAACCAGGATGGGTAGCATCCCGTTTAGAAGGCATAATCCTGCTCTGCGGCTTTGCCTCTTGCGGGCAGGAGGAGGCCAGGAGCCGCGTGTGTGGGGTCGCCCCCGCGCCGCAGCCTCGGCAGGCGGGCGGGCACGAATCCCGCCAGCCCTGGGCTCTCCCTCCGAGCCCGCTGCACGCGCGCGCACACACACGGCCGAAACGCGCGCTCCCGCCCCTCGCGAGCGCGCCCTCCCCTCCGCGCCCCCGCCCCACGCGCCGGTCCTCCGCGCCCCCGCGCTCCCACAGCCTGAGCGCCGGCTCAGCTGACCCGCGGGCGCCAGACGCCGTGGCTCCCAGCTCGCGAGTGCAGCTGCGGCGGCGCGGGCGTCTCACGGCGCCACCACCCCCCCGCGCGCCCCTCCCCCACCCCGCACCAGGATCCGGACCGACTGCGCGCGAGCTCGCGACCCCTTCCCCGGCGCTGAGCGAGGAGCGAAGCTGCGGTGACGAGCGGCGGCTGCGCGGCCATGGGCGCGCCCGGGTCGCCCTAGGGCGGGCGCGCGGAGACCAAAGCCCGAGCGGCAGTCTCGGCCGCGAGCCCTCTCGGGAGGCGGCGGCGGCGGCGGCAGCAGGAGCAGCGCAGCCGGGATGAGCGGGAGCGGCGCGGCGCCCGGCCCGGGCTCGGGCTCCTCCCCGGCCGCGGCTCCTCCCCGGCCGCCTGCCGTTTCGCGCACTACTTCGTGCTGTGCGGGATCGACGCGGACAGCGGCCTGGAGCCCGACGAGCTGGCGGGTAAGGCCGGGCTGCGGTGGCGCGGGGGTCCCCTCAGGGACGCGGGGGGTGCTGCGGGCACGCTCGGGAGGCGGCGTGCGGGCTCCAGACAAAGTCAGCTCCCGGCGGCGCCCGCTCTCTGGCCGGCCGGGCTCTCGGGCGGCGATTAATGACATTGTTATTTATTCCGCGTGCAGGGTGCGCTGCTGAGTCCGCGGGCGCCCGCCGGGGGCTTTTGCCTGGCGGGCGCGGGGTTAGGAATAACGGGTGCGGGGGCAGTGTCGGGGTCGG